TTAACTACTAGGGCAGTACCCGCGCTCTGCGCGGGTATAAGTTTTTTATAACAATTTATTATTCACTAAAATATGATTTAAGTTTTTAAAAAGGTATCTTTTAATTCTAAATTAAAAAAAAAATCATATAATTTAAGTAGACACATGTCTAATGTACTAATTGTACGGATATAACTAATTATGTCACTGTGAAAGTTTTAGGTTGTTATAACATCTAAACGAAATTATAAATTAGGACTATGATGCCACTTATACCATATTAGTAAATTTTAATTTGTTAATCAATTTGTTGATCTAATTTTAAAAATCAATATTTATTTACACTTTTTATTACTATTTTTTTATCCAAACGTTTAAAATTATTCATTAACATTATACCATCATTGTTTTGGAAATTTAAGTGGTGATAAACCTTAACATGGGAGATTAAACCCTCATAAATGAATGTAACTACTGAAAACAATAAATAAATCATAAACTCTAGCATCAAAGTGTATATTTAGATACAAAAACGTAAATTTAATATTTTCATAAAACAACTTAATCGATGAGCTCACACTTGAATTTTTTTCTTTTTTTCTAGTTTAATGTTCAAATATAAATAATAAATTTTTTTTTAAAATAAATATGTTTTGTTTTTTTCTTCAGTGGAGCCCGTGTCTTTACTCTCTTTAGCTCTTTGTTTGGATTGGATTCAGATCATTTATATGGGATCATATATGTCTAGCATAAAATCTTTGACTATCATACCAAATAGTTGTAGAGTTCTGAGTAAAAGATTAATTAGTCCTCTTGTAAATGAGATAAACGGCTAATTAATATTTCATTTACAAAAGTTTAACAAAAAATTTCTAATTGTCAGTTAAGTTAATTTTGTGTAAGTAACTGTCGGAGATATTAAACTAAGTGTGTGCAATTACATTTCAACAAATCATGTTTTGTGTTTTTTATAAAAACTTTGATTATGTGCATGGTTATATATATGTCATAAACTTAGCTTACATGTTTAACAGTTTTATTAGATTAATTCTTTTTATAAATTTATTCTACCGATTATAATGTATTAGCAAAAAAATTATAACCATAAGTGACATAATTATGAAAGAACAAAGCGACGAAATTTATCGTGAGTCAGTCTTTATAATTGTGGATTTTTACAACGTCAATACCCTTCCCTTTTTTTTCTTGTATTTGTATAACATGTAACTTGGGTTACTCAAGTTAAATGATTTTATGATTAAGTTAGGTATTTATTTTCCTCTCAACAACTATGATATGATTTCTTCAGTTTTTTTTCTTCTTATTTATCTTCCATGGAAGCTCTTCTTTTTCTTTGTACTATTTTTTCCATCATTCTTATAAACCCAATTTTAACCGTAAATGTTTGGTGGAATTTCCCTCCTTCTCATGCCTATCTCTTTGGGGATAACAATCGAGTCCCGGTTCCTTGCCTTCACCAATAAAATATAGCTTTCAAATGGTCATGCTTTATATAGTAAATCATATATAACAAAAATCAAATTTTGATTGTTCTCTACTCCTTCATCTTCTCCATGACTTTTTTTAAATTTCATATAATTAAAATAATACCTAACACTATTACACATGTGTAATTTCTTCTCAAGATCTTCTCAGATTGAGACTTTTCTGCTCCAACAATAAAACGATATATTTGACTAAATTTATCGATTTTAAGAGATACCAATTCTTAATATGAGACTAACAAATGTACATAAAGTTATGAGTGATTTAAAACGATCGATTTGACTAAAACTATCGATGTTAAAGGTTACCTAACCCTAATATAGGATGCCAGACCCTTAAAATGAATATTGAATTATTTTAAAACGATTGATTTGACTAAATTTATCTATTTTAAGGGGTACTAAACCCTAATACGGAAGCCGAAACCCTCACAAACGTACATAAAAATATTGAATGATTAGAAGCGATAAATTTGACTAAACTTATTGATTTTTAAAGGGCTACTAAACCCTAATATGGAAGCTTAAACCCTCACAAATGCACATGAAGTATTGAAATATGTAAAACGATCGATTGACTTAATTTGTCGATTTTTTTTTGTATTTTCTACGTTTTGAAAATATTATATTGAAACTATCCGAAACAAACCGAATAAAATTATTAATTGTGGGTACTTCGGTTAATTTTGATCAGTTCAATTAATTTATCTAGTGAAGATACCCGCTCTGGCATTAAAGTTTCGAGAATTAAAATTATACAAAATTTGATAGGTTTAAATTGCACTCATATACAAATGATTTGATGAGAGTATAAATGTGATTTCATTGTTTGTGGCATTTTCTTTTTAACTAAAGGAGAACCCATAATTCATTGCTACGATTATAGGTTTGGTTGGACAAGATTCGCTCTTTTGAATGGATTTTTTTGCGGAGATAAGTATATTTACCACTAAATTTATTTACTGTTGTTTTTCTCTATTGTAGAATTAAGTAAAAAATCATTAATTTTTTTTTATATCCATTGCAGAAATTTCTCACATGATTTCATTGGTTCTCGGGCCGACGTTCTAATATCTTCTAGCATCAATGCGTGATAAATTCAACTGAAACCTACATGGAATTCATTCTTTCGCATACTTTAGAGTATGTATGTTAATTTATTTATAGTTCTTGAATTCTTGTTTGACTGTGAAGTTATAATAGCTAAGCATCCATTGCTTTTAGAAGAGTATAGCCTTAAATGTTTTGGATTATTAAAAGACTCACGCTTATGTGGTTGTACCATCGTTTTCAAACACCAAGGAAAACTATCGATTTTCTTTGTATTACCACTATATTATGTTTTTTGTACTAATTGCATACACAAAACTATCACTTTCAAAAGTAAAAAGTTATTAAAACATTTATACATATTATAATAAGATGACTACATATTTAGTTGGCTCTAAATATTACTATGTAGGAAATAATATTTTATTTATATCTATCCAACACCAAGATTAACACATCAAGATGTTGCCTCTAAATAAAGTTTTAAAATATAGACGATATGAACAAAGAAACCACTTACAATTTCGTTTACACATTTTTTTGTTCAATAATTGCTAACATCGTAGATAACAAACATGATTTCTTAATTTTTTGACATGTTCTTAATCTTCTTTGGCATAGAGATTGATGTGACGAAATAACAGTTTTCACCATCGGCTTGATGTTTCGTGCCGTCTTTTTTTATGAAAATAATAAAAATTAAAAAAAAGTTAAAATCCTTTGAAAAGCAATAAAATATATATTTTGCTAACATACAAGCGGTCAAAAGAAGTGTGCTCGGAGTTAGACCTATCAAACATGTTATTTTACTTACAGAAAACGAAGATTGAACTATGATTTCCTTGGCACTATCTTAGTATAGCTGGCCTCCGACTTTCGCCGTTAGTTTATTTTTGTCTGTAAAATTACAAATCAAAGAGAAACTAAAATTATTCAATAAAGAATAAATGGTCTCGACAATAAGAAAGAAAAACTCATTACGTATAAATAGTAAGAACAAAAAACACATATCAAACAAAACCAACATTTAAATGATTTGTGTGAAGAAGATAGGTGAAAGAGGTTAGGCTTAGGGTTATAGTTAAAGATTTTAATATTAAATCCCGGACACCGTATGTACTACGCACCATGCAGTATGTAAAACACACCGTCATCAGCACAACCGTTGTTCTAGATCGAACATAGTTGGACACAATACCATTCGACGACCCTTGAC